CCATATCTAATGAAAATTCTGCCTACTCACACACAAGAATCCCCATTGTGTCCCCTGATTACACTAAGAATAGAGTATTTAAAGGTTTACTACCTGGAAACACCTGGTACCAAAGATGAAAGCATGCCATATGTAGGGGAATGTATTACAGTTGTAGTGTTGCAGAGATATCTTGACTTATTGGGAAGCCAGGCTATATTTAGAGCTGCAATAGGACAGGTCTGGAGGGGTAGAGTCACAGGAGGACAGCTCAGCCCTTGAGAATAGAGCTGCAATAGGGCAGCTCAGCCCTGGAGGATAGGACATCTCTGGAGGCTAGAGTCATGATAGTACAGCTCAGCCCTGGAGGACAGAGTCACAATAAGACAGCTGTGGAGGCTGGAGCCACAATAGGACAGCTCAGCCCTGAAGGACAGGTGTCATGACTATTGGGAAGACAGGATACCTGAAGCTGGGGTACGGTGGGGAATGGTTTGCAGGATGTAGTGGTCTTGCTCTTCTCCTGGAGAGTGGCTACAGATGTGTGCTTCCTTTAAGGGAACATCCTAGCAGAGATACCTGCTTCTTCTTTAGCCTAAGATGTTTCTTCTTTTGCTAACACTCTGCTAAGGGGAAGCCCCCTGCAGAAATGTAACAATCTCCTCTGGTTCCAGCAAAGTGTTACTCTTTTCTGCCCAGCCTTGCTCAGTTCCCCTTAAGGAACATCCTAGCAAGGTTCTTTTGTTCTGCTCTGTCTTGCTCAGGCCTACTAGGGGAGTATCTCAGGAAGGTTTTTCACCTCTGTCCCCTAAGGGAGGTTTCAGCCAGGTTCTTCTAGTCTGCACTGGCAAACTAGTTGAAGGTCTAGTTGAAAGTCATCACCCAACACTCTTTTGAGAAAGAGATTTATTTGGGAAGGAAGGAGTCCAGGAGAGTGGCTGCCTCTGCCAGAGAGGGATAAATGGTGGCCTCTAACTGAAGGAACACAATGGCTTATATAGGGCTTCTTAGGAGCAGAGTTTTCCCAGGGAAAGAAGGGATTAGTTAGTTTTTCCCTGCCCAGAGATTGCTAGTTTAGTTGGTCAGGGGAAGAGAGGACTCTGATTTTATGGCCAAACTGTTTGTTTTGCTAGTTCTTTTTATCTTTTTGACTCTAATCTTAGGATCAGGATATATTTCTTTAACTGGCTCTGATTCTAGGAACAAAGTGTGTTTCTTTGACACTAGTTTCAGAGTTAGGACACATGTCTTTAGTCCTAGGTTCAGGGATAAAAAATATTTCTTTCCCTTGCCCAGATCTCAGATCCAAGGTGTTTCTTTTACTGACTCTGGGTTCAGAGTTAGGGTGCTCAGTGATTGATTGGTTTCCTGCTCCAGCTTTTCCTTTTACCCTACACCACAGAGGGAAACAACAGACTCCAGGTAGGTATTTAGATTCTTGATGAAATCATCACCACTTGCCTCGGAAAAAAAAAATGCTGTGATTAAGTTGGTGGCTATTTTCATCTGGGAATCATTAAGTTTGCTTTCAATCTTGCTTATGGCTAAACTTTTTGCAGTTATGGAGTGTTCAAAATATAGCTTCTATTTTCAATAAAGCAGTGGCTATCCTGATTCACACTCAGATCATTTCAATATCCATCCTTCACTGACTCCACAACTTCGCTTTGAGACCTGATGCCTGTTGGAGCTGGTCTCTGGCAAGTACTCTTGTATAAAACATAGTTCAGTTCCCAACACCTACTTGGCTGTTCCCTTCTATAACACCAAAGTTACAGGGGAACCAACCAATTCTTCTGACCTAATGGCAGTGTTCTTATAAGAGGACAGATATACAGATATATATGTGCAACTATACCTGAAGGAGACCCTATTGGGAGGAATCATTCATATGAAAAAACTCACTCTTGTGTTCTAATGTCTGGACCCCAGATATACCAGCTGCCTCTGGAGCTCAGTCATGTGTTCAGGTAGGGGACCATTGGAACAAGGTATAAATAAAGCTACTACCCTCTCCCAACAGATGAGTATTTCATCATGTTTCTGTAGTTATGTACTTATAAAGATATTTTGTCACATTTTATTTCTTTGGGGTGCATCTATAAAATGTGAAAAAAAAGTACATTAGTGACAGAGAACACCTTGAGAAATGGTTTTCTCCTTCCATTATGTGAAGAACAATCTCGTGTAAGTAGGGTTATAAGGAGCTATTCTCTATATTGACAGTTTTCAAATAATGATATGGAGACATTTTATGACTTAAAAGCTTGCCCTTAGCTTAGACTTTTCAGCCAGCTCTTGTAACTTAAATTAACCCATAATTTTAAGTCTACCATGAGTCATGTGCTCTAGTTCCTCATCTCCACATTGTTCATACTGCTTCCTCTGCATCTGACTGGTGACTTCATGTTTCTTCTTCCCATTGTCTCCTCTCTCCCCAGAAATCCTGGCTAGATTCTCCTGCCCAGCTATTGGTCATTTATTTTTTAATTAACCCAATAACAGCAGCACATCTTCACACAGTGTAAATGAATATCCCATAACATTCCCCCTTTTAGAATAAATAAGAAGGAAAGGTTTTAACTCTAACATAGTAGAATTAAATACAATTAGAACAATTGTCAGGTAAGAATTACATTACATTTACAACATCCAGTCCATTTGTATCTACCAAACTCAGAGAAAGTGCCGTATTACCTATCCTATCTTAGTGACTCCAAAGTTTTATGCCTAAACTAATTTCTACCATAATTTGTGTTACCACTTTAAAAATTGTTTTAGAATTTAAAGCATCATACACAAACAACTTAAGATTTTATGTTCTTCAATCTTATAAACTTTACATCTCTTATGTAAACTTTTTTATTGGGTAACAAAAAAATCTGCAACAATCCAGTTTTCAAACCTATCAAAGACCCAAGAAAGATATATTACCTGAGTGCAGATCCAGCTACTTCATAAAGTATAGGAATGACAGAAACAGCTGTCTGCCTGGACAGTCACCCAAGGTTCCTCTGCAGTTCTGGGGCATTCATCTTTAGCCTAAAGGCCTAGACTATCTGACAGACCTTTTTAAGAATTGGGATATTTTAAAGGACTATCCCACCTTGTCTTGGCAGAGTTTGGCAGTCTTATTCCTTTGTGTCCTGCTATTTCAGTTTGGACAGCATACTATCAGCAGTTGAAGCAAAGGCAGTTCTTTACCCACTGGTAGCTTTGCCACAAAGGACACAAATTCCATATGGGGGTTCTTTGATTCCCCATCATCCTTTCTTGAAGTAGACTGGTACTGCCAGTAGCAGATGTGTCTCATATTTTCTGCTATTAAAACATTTTCAATCCCATATTCTGTAGGTCTCTGAAGTGTTTGAAGTCATTTAAAATATTTCTGTCTGATTTTGAAACCATACCTAACACTGACTCAAACTTTGATTGTTATAGATGACTAACTACTATCTTTCTTTATTAACCTAAATAGATATCAAGGACTAAAAGTTCACACTACATTTTTAAACAAGCTGCATAGGTACAATACCTTAAAAAGTATAGAAACATACCCATAACAATAAAAAATATTTTTTTAATTGAGAAAAGGAGAAAAACAAAAAAAAAACAACAAAAAAAACAAGTTTCCACCTCCTCCCAGCCTCCAATTTCCCTGCCCCCATCTCCCCCTTCTCCCCCTCCTCCCACACTTCTCCCCCTCCTCCCACCCTTCTCCCCCTCCCCCCACTCCTCTCCCCCTCCCTATCCAGTCCAAAGAGCAGTCCGGGTTCCCTGCCCTGTGGTAAGTCCTAGGTCCTCCCCCCTCCGTCCATGTCTAGGAAGGTGAACATCCAAACTGGCTAGGCTCCCACAAAGCCAGCACATTAAGCAGGATCAAAACCCCGTGCCATTGTCCTTGGCGACTCATCAGCCCTCATTGTTCGCCATGCTCAGAGTCTGGTTTTATCCCATGCTTTTTCGGTCACAGTCCAGCTGGCCTTGGTGAGCTCCCAATAGATCAGCTCCACTGTCTCAGTAGGTGGGTGCACCCCTCGTGGTCCCGACTTCTTTGCTCATGTTCTCCCTCCTTCTGCTCCTCATTGGGACCTTGGGAGCTCAGTCCAGTGCTCCAGTATTTGAAATTATTAATTGCTTCTTAGTTTAAAGCAGATCCATCTACACCTGTTTTTCTATCATTTCTAAATACCATCCATTTCTTTTCAGAAAGAGATCTCTGAATATAAGCTCCCTTGCTTAGTTTCCTCCCTTATCAAAACCAGTAACAATTTGCAACCAACCCCCCCAAAAATGATAAACATCCATAATCCATTGAAGGACAAAGATCTACCCACCCCAACTCTTGGAAATGTGGGTGTTGTGTTCTTTAAATTACTTTTTATTGCCTGGGGCAACAAATCTTTAGGGAATCCTGAGAAAATTGCAATAATGGTCAAATCCTGGGAAAACTAAGTGTAACATTTATTGTCCAGCCTCTGTGTAATAGAACAGTGCAGGGCTTATCTAAAGTCTTGACTGGGTAATCTGTGAGACTGAATCATCTCAGTTGACAGCTTTGATTTTGGATGTATATATTTTTTTCTTTTTTTTTTCCAGCTGGCCTGGGTCTGAAAAAACCTGGGATAAAACTGGACTAGCTGAACATAGCGGACAATGAGGACTACTGAGAACTCAAGAACAATGGCAGTGGGTTTTTGATCCTACTGCACGTACTGGCTTTGTGGGAGCCTAGGCAGTTTGGATGCTCACCTTACTAGACCTGGATGGAGGTGGGTGGTTCTTGGACTTTTCACTAGGCAGGGAACCCTGATAGCTCTATGGGCTGAGGAGGGAGGGGGACTTGATTGGGGGAGGGGGAGGGAAATGGGAGGAGGTGGCAGGGAAGAGCCAGAAATCTTTAATAAATAAATAAACGGGAAAAAAAATTAAAAAAAATATACATCCATTTCTTCTGTTGAGAGCTGAACAGAGAATTCTCAACAGAAGAAATGGATGTATATTTTTTGAATAATCTGTAATAGGGGCATTTTAGGAGGCTGGATCACCTGGGCTACTTGTATTCATTGGTGTCTGGTCATTTTTTTCTGAAAACATGCAATATTTTTAAAAACACACAAACTTTTAAAGGTAAAATACATATATGCATTAAGACAAGCATATAAAATATGTGTTGTAAACAAGTCAACTGAAGATGATTTTTTGTTCGATATTTGAGCAGATAAAGGCATTTGTCACCTTTATAAGTCTATTTGGACTGTATAACCAAATTGTAATGTTATTATGGCATTTTTGGCCCCCATACTCTCATAGGGAGTGCCATTATTAGGAAGTGTGGCTTTGTTGGGGTGGATATGCCTCGTTGGAGGGAATGTGTCACTGTAGGGGTAGCCTTTGAAGTTTCCTGTGCTCAGGACACTGTTATTCAAGTGTTGACTTCTGTTGACTTCCTGTTGCCTACAAGATGTAGCACTCTCAACTCCAGTACCACATGTGCCTACACACCACCACGCTCCATCGTAAAGATAATGAACTTCTGAAACTATATGAAAGTTATCTCAATTGAATGTTTTCTTTATAATAGCGTACCCATAATGTCTCTTCACAGCAATGAAAGCTCAAACTAAGACAACAGCAAAAATAGCATTTTGCACTGGTGAGATAGATAGGAAAAATGTATGTGGACTGCAAGGCTATACCTCATGGGGATTTTCACGACTGTGAATTTGTTTTAATTTTGAATGCTACTGCAATATGCAAAAACTTTGTTACTTTAATGTTCATAGGATGTCTATCTAGTATGACTTTTTTCATGTCTATAAAGATTACACTTATCTGCAAACACTTTACTACATTGATTACATTTATAGGGTTTCTCTCCCCTATGACTTCTTTCATGACGGTAAAGATTGTACTTCTGTACAAAGGCTTTACCGCATTGAATACATTCAAAGGGTTTCTCACCAGTATGCCTTCTTTTATGCATGTAAAGAGCACTATTACATGCAAAAGCTTTACCACATTGATTACATTCATAGGGTTTCTCTCCAGTATGTATTCTTTCATGACTGTGAAGATTGTTCTTCTGTGCAAAGGCTTTTCCACATTGGTTACATTCATAGGGTTTCTCTCCTCTATGACTTCTTTCATGATTGTAAAGATTATTCTTTTGTGCAAAAACTTTACCACATTGATTACATTCATGGGGTTTCTCTCCAGTATGACTTCTTTCATGCCTGTGAAGATGACTTTTATGTGCAAATGCTTTACCACACTTATTACATCCATAGGGTTTCTCTCCAGTATGAGTTCTTTCATGACTGAGAAGATGACTTTTATGAGCAAAGGATTTACCACATTGATTACATCCATGGGGCTTCACCCCAGGATGATTTTTTGTATGTATTTGAAGATAAGGAGGCAATGCGAAGTCTCTACCACAGCAATGATATCCACACCTTTTCTCTCTAACATGAGTTCTATGTACTTGCTGAAGACTATGACATTCATAGGTTTTATCACTGTTATCATATTCACAGGGATTTTTTTCCAAATGAGTTCTTTCATGTACATCTAAAGAGGAATCAGATATAAAGGTTTTACATTCATAGAGATCCTCTTCAGTATTGGTTGTTTTGTGTGTTTGGAGAAATTTGTAACAGCTGAAGTCTTTAGGAGATGGCTCACATTTATTATTTCCTCTTCCCATATGAGTTTTTAAATGCCTTTGAAGAGAACTGGAAGGACTCACAGTCTTACCACACTGATTGCACTTAAAGCATTTTCCTATAATGTGAGTCACATGACCTGTACAAAGTGATCCAGTATAGACAGACACATTTTCATATTCCTTGTACTCAGAAGGTTTTTCTTCAATATGAGTTTGTTGATATCTTCCCACTGAAGTTGGAATAGCAATTACTTGTAAGCTTATTTCACAGTCACCATGTCTTTTCATGGAGGGAACTATTACACATCTTTTATTTGTTCTGAGAGAGACAGGAGTACCATGTTTCTTTCTACATCCCATATGCTCACATGGCTTGCATCCACAGTGACAGATGATAAACCTATTAATAAGAGAATAACCAATAATTTTAGATTGCATTCACATAGTCTAATGCTTTGTGTCTCATACAGATGTAGTATAGGGATTCAGGTTTCTACACGACAATAAATTTCTTGTCTCTCATCAACTGCTCCTTTTACTAAACTATGGTAAGTCATTCTATGACTTATGAGGAACACTAGCTTTAATATCAAAGATTTGCTTATGAAAGGTCTTGAACATTCACTAATCCACCTATCAATGTGAATAACCTTTATGATAATTGAATGGTATGCAAGCAAGTAGATACATTGATCTACAACATGCCTTTCATGATTAAAACTGTGGCACCTTTTAGGACATTGATTTCTTGTCTTATTCTTAATAGAAGGCTTTACAAACAATGATCAGCTACTTAACATTGGAGTACAGGATGTTGTGAGAATTTAATAATTGTCACAGAGCTGTGCTTGTTTACACTGCTGCTTTTCATTAAAACTTCACGGTATATTAACATCTCTCTAGAGGTACATATGTATCAGCTTGAACATGAAGATTACCTTCCAGGTCTTCCAGAACTTTGAAAATGTTCTTCAGTATTGTGGTCTTCCCATTTGTACCCTAAAATACAGTACCAGAAAATGTATATGATATATCACCCAAAATTAAGCACAACTGAAATTACTCTCTTTTGTGAACCTTAGAAAAATGCTTGATTTATTCACTCGATTATACCTCTTTTGCATTTGAAATTACAGAATAGCAATGATCTCAAAGAAAGGCATGGCTCCTTAGGTTAAAAAGTGACATAAAGCTCACATTATTACCTATAGAAGTGAGGTTCCAGTAGGTTTCCAGCATCACATCTTTGTAGAGACTCTTCTGAGATGGATCCAGCAAAGCCCACTCTTCATGAGTGAAGTTCACATGCACATCCTCATAGGTCACTGCATCCTAAAGTATCCCAAATATGTATATAATAGAAAGGTTGAGACAAACTGTATTTCAAATGTCCACTTCATTGAAAATATAGTTACATAATTCTGTATACTCAATGCATTCTATGAAATGGAGCATAGAATTTCAAATGCAGCCACCAACTTATTTCATAAGAAAATAGAAAAGGAGAATGATGTTTTATATTTCTGTGCTCACCAAATAGAATATGGCATTGAAAGAGAAATAATATATTATTCCTATATAGTAATATGTACAGGGAGATATACAAACAGTTTAACACTATTTATAATATATCAGAAAAATTGTATCCAATTTGTTAACTACAAAAAAAGGGTAGACAATATAGGCATGGTGGTACACACCTTTAACCCCAAACCTCAGGAGGCAGAGATAGAAACTATTATTCCATGCCAGCCTAATCTATGTAGACATTTCCAGGACAGCCAAAGTTACATAGTGAGATCTTGTCTGAAACAACAACAACAAAAAAAAAAAAAAAACCAGGAAGCACTCAAGGGCTTCCTCAAAATTGCTCCATAGTGTTAAACATTCCCTCCAATTCTGTTTTGGTGTATTACAAACTGGAGTGACCTCTTGTAAATTGTAAGGCTAATAAATCCTAGAAAGGTAATTCTTTTTAATAAGTTATAGACTGACAGATCAAAATTTCTCAAGAATATTAGCAAATGCTTATACTAAAACAATAAAACAATAACAATAAAAATGATGAGGTATATAAAGAATAGTCAACAGATAAGATCACCTTTTGCTTTTGAAGAGATCCCAGATCAATCCCTATCACTCACTGGAGGCACTAAAGTGCTCAACTGAAGGACCTGGTTTTAGCTCTGAGCACCCATATTGCTCAAAATGACCTGTAATTCCAGTTCCAGATGATTTTCTGGTCTCCATGGGTATCAGTCATACACACTATACATATAATTAAAATTCTATTAAAACAAAAAACAAAGGGGCACAACTCAACCTCAAGACAGATATAACCTCAGAGTAAAAAATTGAGAAAAGATTTTCCAATCAAATGAACCTAAGAAACAAGCAGGTGTAGTTATTGGACTATCTAATAAAATAGACTTCAAACTAAATTCAATCAAAAGAGATGGAGGAGGACAGTTCATATTCATCACAGGGAAAATCCATCAGATGAAGTCTCAATTATGTACATATATGCCCCAAATACAAGGACATCCACATTTGTAAATGAAACATTACTACAGTTTAAATCAAACCCCACACACTAGTAATAGGAGACTTCAATACCTCAACTCACCAATGGACAGGTCTGCAAAACAAAATTTAACAGAGAAATAAGGGAAGTAACAGATATTATGACTCAAGTGGACCTAACAGACATCTATATATCATTTGACCCAAACACCAAAGACTATATCTTCTTAGCACCTCATGGATCCTTTTCTAAAAGTAACTACATACCCGGTAACAAAGCAAACATCAACAGATACAAAAAAAATGGTATAACTCCCTGATTCTTATGAAATCACCATGGCTTAAAGTTATAATTCAACAACAACACTAATGGCAGGAAGCCTACAAACTCATGGAAACTGAACAGTGTTCAAATAATTCATAGCTGGGTCAAGGAAGAAATAAAGAAAGAAATTCGAAAATTCCTAGAATTCAACAAAATGAAAAAAACAACATATGCAAATTTATGGGATGCTATGAAAGCAGTGCTAAGATGAAAACTCCAAGCACTAAGTGCTTACATAAAGAACATGCAGAAAGATCACACTAGTAACTTTTTATTTCATTGAATGGACAGCTAAGTTAAACCAACATAAAGGTATCTTGCTTCCAAAATTTGAGTTTAAGGATATGTTGCTTTGGAAAAGAGATTCTTCCTTTGTCTCCACAGAGGATGAGAACCTGTGGATTGCTTCCAGACCAATATGGTTTGATGGAATAAGACCTCCTGAAAGTTCTCTGTGAATACCCCCAAAAAAACCCTTAAAAGATTACCTCACTCAATAAACAGCAGGAAGAACTTTGGAGATAACTACACCCATTTTCCCAAATATTGACTATAAATGTTTCTTTATACTTAAAGGGGGATATGATATAGATATGAATAATTTGCATTGGTATAGATCTTGATTTATAGATACAAATTTAAGGTCAATTTTGTTATATGTATATTTCTGCTCTTGATTAAGATATTGTATTTGTCTAGCTCATTTTAAAATGTAATGTATAATTTAAAAATATAGGTTAATAGATAATCAACTATAATAGTCAAGCTTGTCGTCATGATAGATTTGTTAGATTTTCTAGGTGTATAGAAATATATTTCAGTTAGATAAGTATTCTTCAAATCTTTCAGAGACCTTCAGAATATGGCATTTAAAATGTTTAAGAACTTAAGACTTTTCATGACAGTGAGACACATCTGCACCTGGCAGGACAAGCAACTTCAAGAGAAAGATGGGCATCAACGAGGCTCCTTATGGAGTTGGCTAGCCATTTGGGCAGAAACTGCTATTGCCTGGACATGCAGGGCCTGCAGAAAAATGACTGCTGAACTTACCTAAAGGTGAGAACATTTTTGGGGGTTCTTGCTACATGAAAAAGTCTGCTAAACATTCTGCAGAACACAGAAAAAAATGTAACGGACAAACTGCCAATATAGGCAAAACTTTCTTTGAAATTTCCTGCTTCAGGGAAAAGTCTGTTCCATACTATGGGCCTGTAGGCTGAAGATGGATGTCCCAATGGTACAGAAGAACTTTTGGTGACTATCCAGGCAATGAGATGTCTCTGTCAATTATAGAGTTTTGGAAGTTGCTTACAATGCACTTCCTGTTTACTTAGGTACTATTATATCCTTCTGCAGTCTTTGAAGTACTTGAAATTTATAGTTATAGTTTTACTTAGTTCTGATAAAAGATAAAGTAAGTAAAAATATTGTAACTGTAATTCTTGCTTGATAACTGTTTTGTTATATGTAATTTTACTGTTAAAGTTAAAACCTTCCTTTTTATTTAAACAGAAAAGGGGAGGTGATGTGGTAGTCCCCTCTGTGTGCTGTGACTACCATTAATAAGTAACGAAACTGCTTTGAACCTATAGCAGAGCAAAACTTGGGTAGTCAGGAAAGATGAAAGTGAATGCTAGGAGGAAGAAGGCAGGGTTGGGGAGAGGCCATGGATCCACCACCTGAGACAGACATGCTGAAACTTTGCTGGTAGGCCACAACCTCATGGTGATACACAGATTAATGGAGATTGGTTAAGTTAATATATAAGAGTTAGTCAATAAGAAGTTAGAGCTAATGGGCCAAGCAGTGATTTAATTCATACAGTTTCCATGTGGTTATTTTAGTTCTGGGCAGCTGGGATGAACAAGCATTTCCTCCTACAACAAAGCACACATACTATGACACACCTTAACAAACAAGACACGCCTACTCACAAAAGGGCACGACACTTACTTTTACACAATTACTAACTGGAGACCAGGCATTCAAAGATGGGAGCCTTGGGGTGTTGAGCAAATATAAACCATGACAAAAACATAACCTAAGAAGAAAGAGCTCTACTATCAGGTTCAATGTGTTCTGACTGATATTGAGGTCTTTAATCCATTTGGACTTGAGTTTTGTGCATGGTGATAGATATGGGTCTATTTTCATTCTTCTACAGGTTGACATCCAGTTGTGCCAGCACCATTTGTTGAAGATGCTTTCTTTCTTCCATTATATACTTTTAACTCCTTTATCGAAAATGAGGTGTTCATAGGTTTGTGGGATAAAATCCGGGTCTTCTATATGATTCCATTGGTCAACTTCTCTGTTTTTATGCCAGTACCACACTGTTTTAATCACTGCCGCTCTGTAATAGAGTTTGAAGTCAGGGATGGTAATGCCTCCAGAAGATCCTTTATTGTATAGGATTGTTTTGACTATCCTGGGTTTTTTGTTTTTCCATATAAAGTTGATGATTGTCCTCTCAAGATCTGTGAAGAATTTTGATGGGACTTTGATGGGGATTGCATTGAATCTATAGATTGCTTTTGGTAGAATTGCCATTTTTACTATGCTGATCCTCCCAATCCAAGAGCAAGGGAGGTCCTTCCGTTTTCTGGTATCCTCCTCAATTTCTTTCTTCAATGCCTTAAAGTTCTTGTCAAATAGATCTTTCACTTCCTTGGTTAGAGTTACCCCAAAATATTTTATGCTGTTTGTGGCTATTGTGAAAGGTGAAGCTTCTCTGATTTCCCTCTCTACTTCCATATCCTCTGTGTATAAGAGGGCGACTGATTTTTTGGAGTTGATCTTGTATCCTGCCATATTACTAAAGCTGTTTATCAGCTGTAAAAGTTCTTTGGTGGAGTTTTGGGGGTCGCTTATGTACACTATCATATCATCTGCAAATAACAAAAGTTTCACTTCTTCCTTTCCAATTCGAATCCCCTTGATCCCCTTATGTTGTCTTATTGCTATTGCTAGAACTTCAAGCACTATATTGAAGAGGTATGGTGAGAGTGGGCAGCCTTGCCGTGTTCCTGAGTTTAGTGGGATGGCTTTGAGTTTCTCTCCGTTTAATTTGATGTTAGCTGTCAGCTTGCTGTATATAGCTTTTATTATATTTAGGTATGACCCTTGTATCCCTAATCTCTCCAAGACTTTTAACATAAATGGATGTTGAATTTTGTCAAATGCTTTTTCAGCATCTAATAAAATGATCATATGGTTTTTTTCTTTCAGTTTATTTATATGATGGATTACATTGATAGATTTTCGTATGTTGAACCAGCCCTGCATCTCTGGGATGAAGCCTACTTGATCATAATGGACAATTTTTCTAATGTGTTCTTGGATTCGGTTTGCCAGTATTGTGTTGAGGATTTTTGCGTCGATGTTCATGTGTGAGATTGGCCTATAATTCTCTTTCTTGGTTGAGTCTTTGTGAGGTTTTGGTATCAGAGTAACTGTAGCTTCATAAAAGGAATTTGGCAAA